CAGAATTTACCAGTCAAGTCCTCTCGCCCGGCAGTATTCTCTGCTGCAAGTTTTTATTCACAAACTTAGTTTGTTTACTAGAGGGAGCGCTATTCAGGCGTTCCATTCAACAGCAACGCCGAGTTCTCCCGGGAGTGAGCCTCTCTATGCAGAGAACCTAGTATTTACAGTTTCCCAGGGCGATGGGATTATTTGAGGAGTTTTGGCTAGTTTTGTTTCATAGATGTGCTCATTAAGGACAATTTACTTAAAGAATGATGCGAATTGTTATAGATTGGGTAACGTTCGGCTTTCAAGGATTCGCTGTGGTTTTTCCAAGTTGTTAAATGTATTGGCACCAATTTCTTAGTAAGATTTTCTTATTGTCCTTTTAACACTTGTAGATCCCTATCTATGCTTTTTCCTGATATTGGTCATTTCTTCTTATTTATTGAGGTTTATTTCTATATGTTTTATTTATTTTTTAAATGTTTTATTAAGTGTATTGGGATGACATTGGTCAACATGAACATAGAGGTTTCAAGTATGGGTTTCTATGTTATAAGATCTTTATCATTTCTCTCTCTCTCTCTCTCTTTCTCTCTCTCTCTCTCTCTCTCTCATATCTACTTGGAACTTTACTACTTGTATTGATTTAAAAGGTACATCATGACCGGTTGGAGTACCTAAGTGGGGCTGAGCGTCAACCTATGAACCAGGAGGTCAGGGTTCGATTCCCAATCAGGGCACAGGCCCGGGTTGCGGGCTCCATCCCCAGTGTGGGGCGAGTAGGAGGCAGGTTATCCATGATTTTCTCTCATCATTGATGTTTCTATCTCTCCCTCTCCTTTCCTCCCTGCAATTAATAAAAGTATATTTTAAAACAAGAAATATCTAACTGAAATTGAGGAATTCACTGATTCTCCTGTTTCTGACAGTGCATTCTTGGAAACTTTTGAAGTTGTGTGATTGAGGCGTGGACTTAGCCAGTGAGGATTATTGCGTTGTTTTGATTCATTCGCCCACATTCTTTCTCTTATGAATGTTTCTGTCCTATCATCTGCGTTTGTTAATCATTCTTAGGGATGGTGCTTGTGTGGTCGATCTTCTCTCACCCTTTCCCTTTTTACAGCTGGGTCGTTATTTTTAAAACTAGAGGCCCATTGCACAAAATTCATGCATGGGGGGGGGTGAGTCCCTCAGTCTGACCTGCAACCTCTCCAATCTGGGACCCCTTGGAATCCCTGTCACAATCTGGGAATGCTGACTCCTAACTGCTCACCTGCCTGCCTGCCTGATTGCCCCCTAACTGCTCCTCTGCTGGCCTGATTGACACCTAACTGCTCCCCTGTTGGCCTGATCCCCCCGCAACTTCCCTACCCTACTGGCCTGATCCCCCGCAACTGCTCTACCCTGATGGCCTGTTCTCCCCCTACTATCCTCCCCTGCTGACCTGATTGCCCAAAACTGCCCTCCCCTGACAGCCATCTTGTGACGACATGAATGGGACTGCTGGCTCCTAACAGCTCACCTGCCTGCCTACCTGATTGCCCCTAACCACTTCTGCCTGCCAGCCTGATCACCCCCTAACTGCTCCTCTGCTGGCCTGATTGCCCAAGAACTGTCCTACCCTGTTGGCCTGATCACACCCAACTGCCCTACCCTCATGGCCTGTTCGCCCCAACTATCCTCTGGTGCTGGCCTGATTGCCCACAACTGCCCTCCCCTGCCAGCCATCTTGTGACGACATCACGCGAGGGTGTCGTGCCAGGGCGTGATGCCAACTAGGCTTTTATTATATAGGATATCTTTCCTGTAGTTAGTTTTTTATTGTTCTGTATTAAGTCTAATAGACGCTGTTCATTGGAGTGACTGCACCGTTGCATAGTACTGTCATGATGCTAAGGTTCCGTAGAAATCAGAGCTGTTTGTTTTCAGGTTTCCATCTGTTCTTTGTTCCCGTGTCCCTCTTCCTGTCTTGATAAAGTCTAAGTCCATGTGGCTAATAATGTCTGTCCTGCAGCTCATAGCTGCTGAGTTACACTCACTTCCTTGCAGATATAACCCCGCTCTACACACTAGAAGTT